TTGTTTGACTATAAGTTAAATGGAGCTAAAAACTTTATCAATTACAGTATAACAAGACATGTAAGTGAACAATATTGTTTTCAATTAGATTTCATCAAGCTCCACTCTAATATACATAACTTTCAATATACTTGTAAAATATCAATCAAGGTAATTTGTGAGACAACAACAACAAGGAGTATGGATTGTAAAATGGTTAATAAGAATGTTCATAATGACAAGACAGCTTAAAAAGGTGTTCAGACAGATAGACAGAGAATGTAGGTTAAAGAGCTAGGAACAAAAAAGGATAATAAGGTTGTGTGACACTGGAGGTTGAAGGCGGTAAATAAATAACAGTTGAATGTGAACATAGAAGTAATGTGAAAGAAGGGGTGACGAAATAAAATAAAAAGGAGAAGTACATTTTAAGATTCATAAGTGAGATCATTCATTAAGTTCTCCATGGTTAAGGCAAGAATAATGCCTGCATAAATTTCTTTTGAATACAGAGCTATGAACTGTTTATTCGAATTCTTATAGCCTCAGCTATATGTAAAAGGTGGACTTGAACTCCATAGGGAAGGTTCGGTGGTATGCAGTAAATCCCTTTGAACACTTTCATCTTATCTACTCTATGATCACTATCAAATAGATGTGACAAAATAGAGCTTCTTATAGATTTAACCTATCCTTTACCCAGTCACGAAGGTAAGTGTTCAACAATACGTTGGTTAAGTTGTCTAGTCGTACGCGAGATATGACTGTCTCCACAGGAGCAATTAAACTGGTAAATACACATGGAAGTAGCGAAACTAGGTAACTTATCCTTCGTTTGACATCTAACAAATCTTCTACTAGAAAACAATAAACAGAGGTTAGCTGCATAAAAAGTTCTGTGGAATAGAATTTCACTAGGTATATCCCCATTAAATTGTAGTTTTATGAATAGTGGTTTTTTACAAGCGATTACTGCTTCAGGTCTTTTCACAGATCTATTCATATGCTTTTTTTAAAAATAAAATTGTGAGGATAACCTATTTCCATTAATGAATTCGAAATCCACTCTAACTCACTCTGTAGAGTGTCATCTGAGCAGATTTTCCTTGTCCTAGCTGTCAAGCATTTCACTAAATTTCTTTTGTATCGTATAGGAGTGAAACTAAGGAAGTGTTAAACTTTCCCAATAGTTCGTTCTGATCAATATTCAGATCAATTATAATAAATGTATCATCTATAGCGTCAAAGAGTAACACAAAAAGTAATATAAAATGTCTTTCATCGAATGGATGATAGTAGAATTTTCTTTTTTCAACTCTGAAAACATAAGTATGAGATGGACTATGTAGCCTTACTCTTTAAATTACGTTACGAACCATATGGACATGAAACAAGAGGTGACATATGCATAAACTTGGTTTTACTACAAAAAGAGTGATGTGGTATGGAAGTATTCAATCCACGATTTCTAAAAACATTCCTTAAGAACTTCAGAAAGTCACCAATGACTTCTGAAGTTACATGGCTTATGAATATAAGGAGGGAGAAATAGGTACGAAGATTATGTCAATGGCTACCACCACCAATACAGATTATATGCTCCTATAGCATTTCATAATTGCTTAAACAAGAAACAATGCCGAAAATTCACAAATCTTTTAGTGTATATGCCATAAACATATTGTTATTATTATTATTTGTCCTTTGGGTTCCTAGTGGAACATACACATTCAGCAGCACGTCTCCATTCCACTCTCCACTTCTCTGCAAACTATTCAACCTGTCTCCACGACTACCCACAACCTCTCATTTCTTCCTCACATGATCTTCTCCATGTCACCCTCACCTCAAATACCCAACTCGTCGTTTCACATTTGTGTTCCACTCAAATACCTGGCCTGGCGTGTGATGTTCCCAGTCGGTCTTCTCAGTGTATGCCCAATCCATCTCCACTTTCTTCCAGTGCATATTTGTTGAGCGATAGGTTCTTGCTTCGTTGGTTCATTGCCAGCCAGCCAGAGTTCCTTGTTGCTTATTCTTATTATTCTGGCTATCCATCTGATCTTCAGTATCGAGCATAACCTATATACCTATATAGTTTATTCAGATGAATATAAGAATATTAAAACGATACTATTGTTTATAACCTTCTAGTCTCCAATGAAAATACTATTTTAACGAACTCAAAGTAGAACTAAACGGTATGTCTTGATCGAATGGAGGAAGGGGGGATGGGGGGGGATAATCTGTCAAAGGTAAGGAATTCACCAGAATTTCTGGTATTTTCCGCGTTTGAACTTCCCCAGAAATCAACAGCAGCCATACTTCAATAGACAGAAAGACGACTGGTGCAAAAATTAATTTTAAAAACCCAATAAAATAGGCTAAGTTCACAAGTACAGAGCCTGGAAACTGATGCGTGTTTTCTCATAGGTTAGAAACCCGGATTCTTTCTCGTTCAAGTCAGGGGCTCCATCAATCACCTCTTCAGGTTATACATGACACCTGTATGAATGAATAGAAGGTATGTTTTTCCTCAATAAACCACGAATACGCTATATACATCAAAATAAGTAGGTTAGGAACATACGTGCAGGTTGCTTTACAAAGTGACTGTCAACAAATAATACTCGAATACAAATCACTTACTTGGCTTAGAGACTACAGGGAAAGCTCAACTAACATACTTTAGTGATGAACACTACGAGTTTGACAAATCCATGGGTTATCTTCCGGTAACTAACATGTGTACTATCAGGTTTATTATTGTGTGTGTATGTGCCAGATACTATTTGATGTTAGAAGAAGATATCACCTTGTTAATCCATGAGTTCTTTAGAAAAGTCTAATACCTAGGTGAATAATAAGCATCTATTTCGAGTCCAGTAAATATACTTAGCTTCTTATTCAGTTGTAATATGACATATCTACACAATTCATTACTTTAGCTAAGCAGATTGAAGAGTTTGTACTAAACATACCCATTTACTTTTGGATAAAAGTTTCATCACATCGAACTATCAAGGAAAGAACAATTGGTACATAGGTACCTTAGATATCGTAGGATAATTAATCGGAAACATTGTTACTAAGTAAAATCTCTTTTCAACAAGTTATCAGCGAAATCATTCTAGTAAAATCCAGTTGTTTTAAAGAAGGAGATTGTTTTCATCTACACATGATTCAGACAGGGACTAGAAGACGTGTGGTAACTAAATCATACTTACTTCTTATTTATGAGCATAATCCCATTATGGCATTGAAGAAGTTGAAGTATTGCGTATAATTACATTTAGCGAAGTTTTAACGCTATAGTATTATGCAGCTGGGAAGTATACACATTTAAAGTTAAAAAGTTAACGGAAGTACATATATTCATGTCGGTAATATCTTCACATTAACAGTCATCTGTTATGAGTATTGTAGATGATTTGTGTGAATCACTCCTGTTATATATCAAGTAGTATTTATATCTTGTATAATAACTTTGTGGTACAAGAAGTTAGTTGCATTGTTGAAAGACTTTTTTCGGTTTTATTTCATAGTTTCTCTACAATCGTATTACACCTAACAACGCATACATTGATAAATCATCCCTCAGTACTTGCAATTATATGAACATCGTCATTTGACTATCTGAGATATCAGCCGTGGTTTGGCAGACTAATATTTATACTCAATGATGATTGAAAGTTAAATGAAATGTTGAACCGTGGCGGCAGTCGAACCAGTCACCTCTGGGTTTCCGGCCCGATACTCTACCAACTGAATTACGAGGTCAAAATCCTGACCAGATTTTTATTTCACGTCACTTTACATCATTTTATTCCTCCTCTCTGATTTAGTTAGATTTGGATTGTGATGAGAAGTTCTGACTGCGGGCAGAAATGAGTCAAAGACTGATGGGTAGTCCGAAAATGCACAACAAATATACTTAACACATTTTTCCAGACTAAAAGCTGTATTATGATGCAAGACAGTGACAACATCTAAAGTACTTCTCCTGTGTTTGTAAGCAAATTGCTACGGATCTCTGGAAAGCATCAATGAATGTTCAAGCGCAAGGAGAAGTAATTTCTCCATTGTCTTGAAAGAAGGTGAAGTTATAACAATGGGTCGAAACGTAACATCTGATCCAGAAGATGACTTATGCACAGGTACAATTTTGATCTCCTTCAAGGCAGAGCGTATTGCTCTTAAGAAAAGATACATTAAAGATATCTGTAAGGGATGGTAAAAAAATACCTGCCTATTTTCTAAATATAATACTCGAAACACCATCGGAACCTAAGCTTTGGGAGGGATTCAAGGACTTTAGACATTTAAATACATCATTTGTATTAAAACCAAGAAAGGAGCCATCCATCTGACTTTGGACATTAGGAAGGATAAAATTAACTTGTCAACACATATGAATGAGTTGTTTAACGCTCAGACATTATTATTCCATATTCCATGTTTGCTTTTAGAATATCGATCTTCTGATAATTCCATCATTCAGTAAATTCAGTTCATCCTTCTCTTTATTTTCACATGTCATAGAAATATTCAGATGAATACGATTGTATCAGGCAAAAAAATTAATAATTGTCTGGTGATCACCACCCACTACAAAAGTATCATCCTTCACATAGGGTCTACTATGTAACGTCTATTACGTAACATAAAGTTGGTTACATTTCAGTTACTAATCAATACACTTAAGAGTAATTTCTAATTGTATTTTCATTTATTTCCTTTCAGTTAATAGTTTCATGAAAAGTCATTGATTTATTTATTAGAAACTCTTTACTAAATTGATCAATGGTACACGTTCATAGTGAAGGTCACAGTATAATAAAAACTATATCCACCTATAGTTGAAATATAAGAATACCCTAGAAAATCTCTTTCCTTTTATTGATCAATTTTTTCTGAGTAGTTTTCAATAAGAGAAAAATCGAAGATTTTCTTCTTCCTTTTTTTTTTACATTCATTTTTCACTCCATTTTTATATTAATATACATGAGGTTAATGACAGATTTTATTTATGCTGGAATGTATGTCCATGATAACAATTGCTTGAATAGAAATATTAAACATTAGAGAAAAATGAAATTTTATTGGTGGATTCTATCAGTCTAACCCTACTCAATATTGGTTATATATAAAAAGGAAAATTTGATGTGATAATATAGAGTAGAAATTGACGATTAGGCATAGTATCCTCAGTTTGAACAAAATGTTTCATTATATAGAAGTGATATGGTGAATAAAGAGAATTCAGTATTTTCATTCCTACCAACTTATTGGAAGTCTGGTAAGTTCTCAATACTTATTACTTGTAATTTAATTCACCTATGATTGAATGAAACAAGAAGGTGTTGTTATTTGTTCACTGGTGCTAGTTGTAACAGGTGGCTATAAACTCTACATGATAATTTTTCACATTTACAACTGTACCTTGATTCATTCAACCAGAACAATAGAATCTTCTCAACAGGATCATTAGGAGAATAATGATATATTACATCATATCATATGTATAGGTGTATAGTTTACTGAGCACGTTAGTTGATTTCACTAATTGTTACCTTTCAACTTTGAAATAACTACAAGTAAGGTGAAAAATGTAACCTATAATTGAAAAAATCAGTCAATTTGGGAAGTTTGTAAGGATTAATTTATTGATTTCAAATTGCCAATGGTCATAGACTGATATCAGTTGGAAAAAAAATTCGGAACCTCGGGGCACTGGACACCTATTTCGTCCTAGTATGGGACTCCACAAGAGAACTCATCCACTACCCTACCCGTTAAGTATGGTACCCAGAACCTTTACATTCTGTGGCCAGCAACACATTTCCTACTTCTATCAGTTCATGATAATCTAGTCCTCTAGAGGTGACTGATGGGGTTAACGGAGGTTCCGCTAGATCACGAACCGATAGAAGTAGGAAATTAGAAATATGGACCATTGGATTCTGACTCAGTAGCTCAATGGTAACGTGGTGGCCACGGAACCTGGAGGTTATGGGTTCGATCCCTGGTGGTGCAGAGTCGTGGATGCACAATGCTCAGGAGTCCCATACTAGTTGGACGAAACAGCTGTCCAGTGCCCCAGGTTTCCTTTGTTCCTCCAACTGATGTCAGTCTACGATGAATAACAACTTGAGGAGTAGGAAATGTCTATGACAGAGTTACGACCCAGTAGCTCAGTGGTAACGTGCTGGCCATGGAACCTGAAACTCCTGCGTTAGATTCCCAGTGGGCGGGGTCGTGGGTGCGTTCTGCTAAGGAGTCACATACTAGGACAAAATGGCTGTCCACTGCTCTCAGGTCTCCAGTCTTTCGCCAACTGATGTCAGTCGATGACAAATAACAAACCAAGCCAGTTTTATTTGTCAGTAACTCTAAAGTAATCAGGCTATAATTCATCTTGTTTTACACAAAGTAGTTCAGCTTGTAGACATTTAATAGCTTTAATGAGCAGAAAGTTATCCTTTTCACTATATACCCAGAACTGGTACCTGATTTACGAATAATATCTACTTCAGTAAACTTTCACTTCTGGACCTACATGACTTTTGTAAGCAATAACAAGAACTAGTCGCCAAATTAATTGAATGTTTTTCCACAGGATCAAAATGTCATTGTTGTAGATGCGGTTATGTATCATTCATTCAACTAGTAGGTCACGAGCTCGAGCCCCAGTTCTCAATAGGTATGACTTATTACTTTCTACAGGAATATATATACGGGGTTCCTGAGTGCATTTCGACTCTTTTTGTAGACTTTCAAGAAGGTATTCATGACAGTCAGTGCTCAGCCTGTCGAATCATCTCGGTAGACGTGCTTTCCATATAAACAGAATGTGCATTGACTTTATTTCTGTAACAGGATTTTAGTTGTGTAATCTAAGCTTTTTTTTTAATATTTTACGTGTAACACATACATCTTCACTTGATGATGAGAATTTATACAAAATAAGTTATTACTTTGTGCCTTGAACATTGAATATTACTGCGAATAATAAATTTTTCCCTACAATTAGATGGTCACTTGTAAAAGTGTCTTTGGAATACATAACTTCATTTGTGATTCCTTTCCTGTATCAGTATATCTTAGAAGTGTTTGACGTCATTCTACTTCTATGATCTTTAACTTTACATAAACTATAGTGATTTTAAAAGAAAAATTTAATGCTAACAACACTTAGTGTGAAACTTTTCAGCAGTACCCATGAACCACCCCACTAGGGATTGAACTCAGAACGTTGAGGTCTTATAGCGAACGCAGAGTCATGTGTGTGTACTTCTGAAGAGTCCCATACTAAGAAGAAGCATCTATTCATTGTACTCAGGTTTTCAGTGGTTCTTCAATTTATATAGGGTAGATCACCATAAACCTCAAACTACATCTATAGTTTTGTCTACATTTCTCCAATTTATTCAGTGGTAATTCTTCTCCTTGATTTGATCTAACTGATAGTATAGAACAAGAGTTAATTACATATATCAAAGATTGATAATTGAAAGACTTAGACTGAACTTTTACCTTTCTGTTTGTTTGTTCTCATCTTTTTACTGAATGAGAGGCACTTTCACCTAGTTTAGTCTCAAATTCAGCCAAATTTAATATAGGGTTACTTACTAAAATGACTCATGTTTAAACATTTCAATGAGCAACTAAGGCTAATAGCTTTTTGGACTATTTCAACTATTTAGTCAGCGCTTAAGTGATCTGTGGTCCGTAAGTACTTTGAGAACACTCTTAAATAAGTCTGTTGGTTAACTAGTGTAGAGTGTTATTAAAGAGGATATTCATGAAATTGTGTGTAAGTGTAAACGGTGTTTAAGCCCATTGACGAAACGGCAATTTTTCGATAAGAACACAATTCAACAATTTCAGTATTACTTAAGAAACTCACATAGTTGAAAAGACAAGATACAGGCGGAACTATTCTATAGTTGATTATGACAAAAAGCTAACTTGAGACTACAATTTTGAACCAACTAAATTTCCCTATCATAATACCCATATAAATATAAGATATTTTAGATGGAGAATGTAAGATAAACGGGATATACATGATAAACTTATTCGAACGCAATTCAGTTGTTATCGATGAGGTCACTGGGGTTCAGGTAAGTCCTTGATAAGATGAATTGCACCTCCTGAATTCCGCTCCAAGCCGCCACTATGTACATTGCAATATAATACATATCCGGTCAGTATCGAAACACCCACATAGAAGCCCATCTACCAACAACATACACCCACTATTCATGATATCAAGTAGTTACCTCTTGTATTGCTTCGAAAACAACAGCTTACCACATGGTTGATGAAAGTGATTCAAGAACGTGAATATGAACTGTTGAAAATTCTTTGTAAGCCTGGAAAAAGATCACTTGTTTGATTGATCAGATTATCAGATTAAACTTCTGTACTAAGAGATTCCATAAGCTATCATAAAAGTTCGGACGGAATCAAAGACAATGCTTACTTCTGAAAGGCAGTCAGTGATACGTACTTTTCTGACATTTCCATTTCTGTTGGTGTTATACTTTTCATCATTTTCGTGTTAACATATTCAGATTATTATTCTGAAACTGTATTTATGATGTCTGTAAAATGGGTCCCTCTGTCTCTGAACTATTCACATAAACATAAGCTTCTTTCGAAAGGTTCCATTCAAATTCTGGTGTTCAGGATTAAATTTTCACTGATTATATTGAAAATATGTCGTTCCAGAGAATGATAATTTTGATGGACCTCTTTTCGACGCAGACATTTCCCAGTAAGGTTTCGGATATACTCCATTCCAAATTTTAGAAGATTAGTCTTCATGCTTACTATATCAAACTTGACAGAGAATTTGACCAACGCATTGAAATACTTTACTGTTGTAGGATTCCGGTTCAACTTAGGACAACGAAAATTACTTGTAAGTCATAAAAAACAAATGAAAACTGAGAGAAGAAAATTTCCCTTCTTCAATCAGGTCAACGAGAACCGCTTGATAAGGTCATGAAGAAGAACATTCTTTTCTGGTGAGCTTTGGATTACATTCTCTAGTCGACTAGTAATTCTTACATGTGTAAAGATGGAACTGTCTTTCTTGAGAGAAACCAATGTATCCCTAAAAGCTCACTCACTTCCGTAGATTTACAGATAGATGTACAAGCTGGACAAAGTAACCGCTGTAAACAGTATTCAGCTGAGCTATCGATAGACGTAGGTAAATCCATCAACAGTTCAATGCCTCATCAACTGATCATGTTGTGCAATCCGATCGGAATACTCTTTGAAATTTTCCGATCATCCTAAATGACATGATTCAACGGAAGTACAGTTTCGTAACTTGTGAACAAGAAAGAGCTAAAAACCCAACAACTCTGTGTGCAGAAGATGTATATCGAGTCGCTCTATTGTGATCTTAAATCACTAACCCATTGTCCACCCCTACAAGGCATAAAATTTCATGATCTAAATATTTTTAACTAGTTCAAAGTTAACACTTTCAATACAATTCTTGTCAATATAATCACGTTTTTTTCACAGGTGAATTGAACAACTAACCGTTTTAATTCACATCTAGGAAATATATATATGATATATAAGCGCTGTACGTTTCAACCAATCTGATAATACATTAACTTGTTGAATAATTCATATAGAAAACTGAGAAAGGTCAATTAAATCAATGGAACTGTAATTAAGAAAGATAATACGGATAGAAAGAAAACAAGAGAGCAAGAAAAAGGTCACATTCACCACCAATAGTAGGAAGGGTTGAACTCAGTATTACTAGCGTATTATTATTACTATTATTGTAATATTCCACTTGGGTTCCTAGTAGAACATAGGGCTTTAGTAGCATGCCGCCATTGCACTCTCTTCTCTGCAGTCTTTTGAAACTGGCGCCACGAAATCTGCAAACTTTTCACCGTTCTCATTCATTTCACTAAGTGCTTCTCGACCTATGGTTAGTTCCCTTCATGTGTTGTCCGCTCCCAGTTTGGCATTCATGTTGCCCATTAGAATTTTGATGTCGCCAACTGAGATCTTGTCCAGTACTGATTGTAGTTGTCTACAGAATTCCTCCTTTTTCTCTTGATTTGCATTATTCGTTGGCACGTAGCACTGAATGATTTTGAATATCCTTCCTTTTGAGTTGAATCTTACTGTCATGATCCAGGAGGAGACTGGTTCTCACTGCATGAAAATCTTCGATGTTTTTGGAGACATCATGATAGCCACTCCAAAACTCAGTGCTCTTGTGGTTGTCGTCTGGGTGACAGTATCGGAGTAGAT